TAAAATCACCCGCGGGGGGGGGGGGGTTTGCTCACTCAATAAGTTATGGTCACCCATGAGAAGACCCATGAGATGATATGTTTGCTCAACAAGCTTTTGGCTACCTAATGAAGAGCTCTAGATAAGTTTGGTTGCTTGACGAGCTAGAGTACATCCAACATGGAAAGCCACATTGGATTTTTCTCATTAAGCAAGAGTAGCTCACCTAGTGACGAGCTCTAGAGAGCTTTGGTTGCCCAACGAGGCTATCCCTTGCTTAGCAAAAAAAACCTTATTTTTGTGAAACTTATATTTTATGTACCTTTACAAGTGGTATCATATATGTTGATGATATTTTAACCTTGTTCGTGAATATGATGATGGTATGTGATGAGATTGAACAAGTTGAAATGTATGTTGTTTAAGTTGAAAGTAATATGTTTTTTTAAAGTTGAAGATGAATATTGTATGTTGTATAGACATCATAAAGTGTGTGATGCATATTTTTAAGTTGAAAGTTGCATAAAAACTAGAGGGGAGAAAAATTATTTTAGAAATTAAAATATCTCATTGTATAGATATAAGTTGTGATACTTTGAGAAGTTGAAACAGTATGTTGAAGGTTCAATCATACTTGTCACAAGTGACCAATAAGTAAGGTATGGAGTCAAGGGGCCAAATTCCTAACAAGTATTGGAAAGGTACACAATATGTGGATGATAGTCACCGTGCTAATTCCATATGGGCTTACTTAATGCATGATAATATCATGAGAGGCTCATATCCAAAATATTCTATTTTTGACAATAGTACTCTTAACACCCAATTTTCACAGATTATATGAAAGCCCAAAGCCCAATAAGGGTGATTTAGTAGCCTAGAACGGGTTGTTCCCAAACTGCAATGGGTAGTTCCAAACTAATAAAAAGGCCTATAAACCCTAATTGGGAACGAGGCGTTCCAAACCACCAAAAAGGCTTATAACCCTAGTTGGAAATGGGTCGTTCTGCTTTAAGAACGGGTCATTCTAAACATGGTCATTATGAGTTAAACTCAACTCCAGAGCGGACCGTTCTGGTTTGAAAATGGGTCGTTCCATATGCAAATTTAACACATGATGAAAGGATCCAGAACGGCCTGTTCTGGATCCGAAATGGGTCGTTCTGGCGACTCCTAACATCTATAAATAGTAGACTCTGGCAGTACTCATGGACACACTCTCTGAAGACCAAGGAGAACCAAGAGAAGGAGATCAACCAGATTCTGCTCTAGCCTCGTCTTCTGCTTATCCAAGTAAGGGGGGAGTGAGAAACCTTGCTCGGGGGTGTGGGAATAATTATTGGGTAGAAGGATTGACCCTCAATCCCATGCTTGATGCATGCTTCTAGGAATAGGAAAAATATGAAATTTTTTGTTTTGCTCTATGAATGTTGCGTTGCGTTTCTTGTGTGATGTTGAGTGCAAATATGTGTTTGATTTCAAAATTAAATAAGTTTTGATATCAATTAGAGTGCTTTGTGGGTTCTTGTGGGAAACCCTATGAAATAAAATTAGGGATATGATCTTTGGATGAATTTTGAGGCATTATATGTAAAAAAATTTAATGGATTCATGTTTAGGATAATTTATGGGTATGTGCTATTCTATATATGACTATGAGAAGTTCCTTATATGAGACTACGTGAATATGACGAGAAAATGTGAAAAGTGAACATATGATCTATGATATGATATTATGAGATAAAATGACATGAGACGTGATGTGAATGACGTGCTATTGTGAGCACTATGACTATGAGAAAGTGAAACATGATGAAATGAGATAAGACATGAAATTCCATAACAAGTAAAATGATGAGTCCATGAGTTTGTGAATGTGTGACATGCATCATATACATTTATGTGACGGGGTACGATATGGAGTACACCGTTAGGGAAAGCCCTCCGAGTGTGAAACATCTTGAAGGAATCCTATGGGATGCAGTAGTTTGGAAGGCCCAGTTCTGCCCGTTTGTGTGCATGAGACGCGCGTATCTTGCGCGGCTTCACTATCCCGATGAGACCCTAGCATTACATCCTTCTAGTTGAGAGTGCACGGTTGAGCCGACATGTACTCCTACTCTACTCTACGTGTATTGCTAGCTGCAATGCACCATGTGATATGTGATTGGTGCCACATGCATACATTTGTGAGTCGATTCCATGGCATCATTGCATAATGAGTGACTATATATGTGCTACTAATGTATGTATGACTTGAGTTGTGCTTGATTAACGTGTATTTTGTGTCGTGCTTTGTTAGAATTTGTGTGTGTGTTGCCTGACCGTTATTTTTACATCTGAACCTAAGTGAGATGTTTCTCACTCCCTTATAGTTCTTTGTATGTGTTTAAATTGTGTTGCAGGTGATCATCAACATGAGGATGTTGGTGTTGAGGCTTAGACTTCAGTTGGGTGTGCTCTTATAGGATATGTGACATCGGGCATAGTTAGGCCTAGTTTAGGAATTCAGTTTCTTTCTTTTGTTTTGGAAAAATCTTTAACTTTATTTCTTCTGTAATTTCTACAAGTGAATTATGAGTATGTTTATGAATGTGAATTATCTACTCTCATGTTAATGGAACCATGGTTTTATTTCAAAATATTTATTTACTCTAAGAATATGTTTTCATAATTATTGTATATGTATGTTGGGGTAGAGGGTGTCACATTTAGTGGTATCAGAGTCTGGTTGATTCAAACCGGACATGTGTGTTATGTGCTTATCATAATTCTGTTGTATACTCTGATAGTGTTTTGCTTGTTGTGCACTCTAACGGTGTTTTGCTTTATGATAATGATGATGATAATGATGATGATGATGATGATGATATTTCCCTTGTGTTGTTGGTGTTGTGCTTAATTTTCTATTATTTTCTTAGAATTTGGCTGATAGACATGATATAGCTTAGATGATGCTACTTATGATTGCTTTTCTTCATTCTCATGATTGCTTATTTGTTTTGATACTTCTTGCTTACGTAAGAAGTAATGGTTGGGTGGTATCGCTCGTGTTGCAAGCATATGTGCAACTAGTAATGGATGAAGCATTGTGCTAACCAACTAGAACTATTGGAACCTTGGATGTGGGTGAGACATTGAGTGTATCGAGACTTTATGGTTGATGGAGTTTCTGAAATCTATAGTTGTAGCGATTGAATCCAAGGAGGTTGTATGTTGAGAATTGGAGTTTTGGTATTCTTGATGAAAGATTGAAATGTTGGTATTTTCCTTGAGTGTTGGTGCTTGCATGTTAACCTTTTATGGTTTAGGTAGCATGTGAGTTTTATTGTCTAAGTCTTTTGTGTTGAATATGTGAGTTGTTTTGGTTTAGGATTGTAGTGGGAAGCTTGGATATGAGTTTGAGGTGGAAAGGAGTGGGTTTGGAAAGGTTGAGGTATTTTCGTGGCCTTAGATGTTGATACACTATTGTTGTCTGGTGTAGGGGATGTTTACATTGCAGTTTTGTTGTGCCTGTACGAGTTCGTTGTTGACA